AAACAAAAAAAAAAAAAAAAAAAATGCTAACCATATGATCTTTGAAATAAGGAGAACTTTAAGCTGTGTAACTTGCTTCCAACAGTGTCCTTTACATAAATAAATACAATCTAAGTAGGAACAGTATCCCAAGACCATGGTTAGACATTCCAGTTTAACTGTAAGTAGACAAATAAAATATGAAAAACACAGCCTATCAATAAAAAATAAATGCTAAAAGTAGAACTGTATATGTAAATGTCTTTAGTAGATAATATCTGTTATGTTAACATGCTGAAACATTATTTTATGCTAATGATGTGCAACAGCAATAGGAAAAACTACACAGTGAGAAGTACAATTTCTCAAGATGTGGCAAACAGTGACCTCTGTTTCCTGGATCTGACTTATGCTAACGCTAGACCTTAACAGGAAATACGTTCTTGACTAGTTTATGACTTCTTGAATTGTAAATACTTTTGATAGAAAAACTTTAGCTTCAGCTATAGTACTAAGAACAGAAGTACACAAGGCGCTAAAGTTTCACACTTTAGAAAAGGATTCTAAAGCTGGAGATAATAACATCGAAAGAATTAAACATAAGTGGTTTCTGAAGTTAGCATAAATTTAAATGAACAATAATAAGTGCTATCATAGTCATCAGAACAATCACATTCTTAGATCACTTTGATTTAGATACTGTACATATAAAGATGAAAAATACAAAATTTAAAGTTTAGAACTATATATTTAACTTTTTTTAATTTGTTTTAGCTTTTCCTCTTCAAATTGCAAGAATTGAGAAGGTCAAGGATAATAAACCAAATTAGAGAATCTGTGCTTGAAGCTTAATCAAACATAATCTCTACATAAAAAAATATAAATGTGGAAAGAATGCATGCTTCTGGCACTTGAAAAAATGAAATAAAGTACAAAATTCCTGCTGCAAGTGAATGCTGAAGGAAAAAAATAAAATCAGCATATATGGAAAAACAATATTCCATTCCAAATGGTCTTAGAAAATGAATCAGAAATGAACAGTGTCTGATCTTTTTGTTGAAATCCATATACAAGGAATAGCTATTATCATTATAATTTTGGTTACTGTAACTTCCTAAAAACATGCTAGACCTCTAGAGTAACAGAAACTCAGCTATAGTTTCCACTTCTCACATTGGCAACACTAAGCAGTATTAAAACAGCAATTTGGATACTCATTAAAAAAATGAGCAGCAAGTGTGATCTAGAAAACCTAATGCAATCATTATTGATTAGTAATTTTTCCAGGAATGCACATATTTTTTAATTCACTAAACTTTAAGACTACTACTTGCATAACACTAAGTGTAAAACATTCTTATCCCAGCAGGCACACATATATACACACAAAAGCAACACAGCTTCAACTGAACCTTTTTATCAAATACCTGTCAATATCCTCTATCTTTTGCATGTTAAACAGAAGTGATGGAACGATCTTATCCATATGCTGGGGTTCCCAAATGGTAGCTTGAAGTTCATCATTAACTGTTTTGCGAACCACGCCCTGGATACCTCTTATTCCAGCAATTCGTATTCTATAAAGAAGAAAAATAAAATGAGACATGAAAAAGCTATTTAAAACTGTGCCTAGCTGAGAGAACTGATACCAAGTAAATATTGTTATTGCAATAAAAAGTATCTTAACACACAAGTCCATGAAATTAGAATCTCAAAAATCTAGCATAACAGAGAAATATCTGAAGATTACTTGGAATTCCATTCTTCTAAAGTCAACGTTTAAAGTTTAAAAGGATTGTTAAATACAGAAATACATAGCATACGTAAGCATTTTTCAATTAAGAAAATCAAAAGAATGGACTTTCAGAAGATGATGATTCATACTTCATCTAGTATGAATCACATTCTTTCTATTTTTTTGCCTTCAAGTCTCAAAGCTGAGTGGAACCAGGATTCAGCATTCCTGAACACCTGCCATGTTTCTTCAGACTTCTCTCACTGGTCTTCCCTATGAAGTCCTCATCTCTTATGAAGATAAGTAAGGCCCTTTAACCTCTCAAGTTAAGTAGCTTTTTAAAAAGGTATACCAAATAACTAAGTCCAGACAACTTCAGCAACATATACAAGTCTGAAGAGATGTACGCATTATCAAATATATGAAATATATGACTTGCAGTTTATCAGTACAGTGAGAGAATGCTGCTCTACCCTCAAATCCCACTCAAAGTCATCAATGTCCTTAAGCTGTTTCCCACTCTTAAAGTTAAAAAAAAGAAAAAGAGAAAGAAAAATCTATAGGTTTAAGAATGAGAAGAAACAGCTTATAAAAATTGCAGAACAGCAGAGCTAACCTGATTCTTAAGACATATTCCTTCTGGCCAAATTACTTTCTTTTTATACTGTTATTTACTTCTTTTTCTCCCTATTGTTATTTTTATTTTTCCTGTTATCTGCAATATCCACCAATTAGATGTTTATTCTTCTTAGGTAACATCATCTTCCATAAACTGTAAACAGATGTAAAGGACAGAAGATACAGATAAAGGGAAAGGGCCTGCTTTACAAACCTTTAGGAATAATGCAGGCATTTAAGATCAGTTGATAAAGAGAATCACACCAAACTGGTGAGAGTGAATTGGAAAACATAAAGATATTCTGCCTATTTCACAGGCAAAATTGCCTAAATATACTGCTTTCTAAAACAAAGACAAGTACTGACAGACACTGAGCAGCTCTCCTAAGTGGGCACACCTAACGTTACACAAAAGGTGGTTGCTATACATAACTGCTGCTACTGTTTTGGTGACAAGATGGTCAAGCACACAGTTGCATAAACAAACAAGATGACACATGTAACATGCTTTGTAAGTAGCCTAAAGGGAGTAGCAGCATGACAGTGCCCATACTGGAGTAAAAGGGGGTGTATGACAGGAAGGATTACCAATGGCTCCCTGGCTCCAGGTGGCATCCAATCCATATCTAATATGGCCTATCTGCACATTCTAGCCATGACCTCGGAATCTTACAGTTTCCTCATCAATAAAATAGGGCATTTGTGTCACTCCTACAACATAGGAATGCTATAATGATTAAATGAATTAATTCATGTCAAGTTTTTAAAAAACTGGTCCACAGTAAGCAATCAAAGTGTTATCCATCATTATGGTGATGATGATGATATCTACTACAGGAGAAAGTTCTTGAAAATTATACTTAGAGCTTAAGACTATCAAGTAGGAGTTAAAAAGGGGAACACTTTTTTAATCCTCAGCACTGCAAAAATAAAGTTTCTAGTTTCCAATTTTTTCTTTTTAAACACTAATGAAAAATGTTAGATGAAAGTATGTTCAAAAGACATGACATTTCACTAGGGGGCAATAAATACCTAATAATAAGGTATTTGAGTTATGTTACAAATTCTGAATTAAGGGCATCCTTTCATTAATGTTGTGGATATCAGAAACACTTGTCCTTAATTTATATGTGATATGGATTTTAAAAACTTTTTTTTGGTACTGGGGATCGAACTTGGGTCCTTGTGCTTGCGAGGCAGGCAGTGGAACCACAGAGCCAAATCCCTGGCCCTAAAAACATTCTTAAATATTCTTTAGGAAGGAAAAAATGTTAGAAACTAGGGTAAATATGAAATTAATTACTAAAACAATTACAAGTATTTTTACCACACACTTGAAGCATCACACTTCATAATAAAAGAATAATAAGAATATAAATGGCCTACATTATACTAAGGAAAAATTATAACCTAATAAAGCCACAAGCAATCATATCTAATGAATAAATATTAAATCATCTCATTATTTCTCCATGTTAAAATAAATTTTGTTTTTGTTCTTGCAAATCACTTTAGCTACACTATAGCCTGTAAACTTCACCTAAAACATAGCTGTGTTTCTAAACATTCTCTTACTTATTTTAAAACTAAAACTCATAAAAATTGTTAAATCTTGGCTGACTGCTCACAATAACTCTCTGAATTCAAGCTGATTTTTTTTAGATGTATTGAGTTGAACATTAAACTACTTTCAATATTTACTTTTCAATATTTGACTTAATTTACAACTTGAAAGTTTCTCATTTCTGACTATATACAGTATCATCCTATACACACATTGTTCTACAGGTAAGTATTCAATTCCAGATCTTTACTTGGATATATCTTGAAGACATGTTTAAAAATGCCCAGGTTTTCACAAAACTTTAGGCTGATGATGACGTGATAGTATACCTTCACTTCATTCAATTAATCTCTTTATTCTGGGGATAAGATGATATCTGAGGAGAAATATGAACAAATTGAGGAAACAAGTCCCATGAGTACCCAGGAACTGTTCTAGGTAGAGAAACCAATATTCTTTAGGACAGCGAGAAGTGTATTTCAAGTTCTTAAGAGACAGCCAGGACATTCATGTGACTGGATTATAGTGAAAGCAGGAGAAAAATGATAGAATGGTGGTTTCTGAGACAGGCAGAAGGAGAACAAAGGGACATTCTGACTATAGCAGAGTAAATTTTAGTGAGGGAAATGGGAAAGCACTCTTTTTTTTTTTTTTTGGTACCGGGGATTGAACTCTGGTCCTTGGGCTTGCAAGGCAGGCCACCGAACCGCTGAGCTAAATCCCTGCCCTGGGAAAGCACTCTTATTTTACAACTTTTGTCAGTTGTTATGCCTTCTTCTGGCAATGGAAAACCTATTTCACCGGTACACTCATTTTCTTTGATAATCACTATGTACTATATAAACTTAATATTAATGAATAAATTATTTGTTATAAATCAGAGTAAAATAATACATACTCTGTTCGTATTTCTGGATCACTATGACAGGAATGACACATGGCACTGAATCGAGATACAAAAAAGTCATAACGTCTGTGATAGGATGGTGTATCTTCTTCAATATTTGCAAATTTGACAAACTAAAAAACAAAAATAACAATACAAACAATATACCCCAACTTTTTGAAAGTGTGGAACAAATCCATTTACTTTTATTATATGTTACATTAACAAGCAACATCCAAATAAAAGGAAATAAAACACAGAAAATACTAAGCAATGCATGTATGTACAAAAAGAATTTTTAAAATAATAAAAATCAAGGATATCACTTTATCAATAGTAAATGTAACCCAGATCCCTTTGAGTGAGAGAGCCCAGACTCAATGAGAGGCCTTGCTCTACAACTCCTCTAAATTTCCTGGATTTCGACAGTGTTTCTTTATGTGATGAGCTTAAACTACTCTACAGAATATTAGGATATTATTTCTTAATAGTGGGTATAAATATTCTTAGTAAGACACGAGTGAATACAATTTCTCTCAAAAAGATAGTTCAATAAAATGCAACATAAACTGAAGAAAATATGAAAAACTCAGTAGAAAAAAAATTGAGAAAGTACGTAGTACAATTTCTGAAACAAAGAAAAGCTAAATAAATTGTATCTATGACTGTCATACTGGGTTGGCATAAGCACAAAGAGGCAAATAACAAGTGAAAATGTACGAAGACCATTAATAAATATAAAAACATTAAAGCAACACCCACCATGTCTAACAATACAAGGCACTCAATAACACTAAAATCTTTAGGGATTACTAAATAATACAGTAATAATACAATAATAATATTATAGTAATAATCATAATACAATAATAATATTGATCAAAACAATATAGCATTTGATTCTTATAGCATATAACACACTTAAAAATAAATTACTAGGGATGTTGGTCTTCTGACCTAATTATTCATTACAGTGCTCTAATGGCACTTCTGGCTATAAGCAAAGAAAGTTCTGAGAGTTTACACTAACCCCTCCCCCATCTATTAAACTGTGTCCCCTCAACTTTCCTTAACTATTGTAAAGGAAATAGGAAATAGGAGAGACCTGAAGTAGCTATCTAGCCTGAAAGTACACTCACCACTTTCCCTAACTGCATCTTAAAATATCCAATATTCTCCTTTGAAATAAATGGACAAAGTTATACTACGGGTATTTGAATGAGAATTTTATTTATACACTGTTACCGTTTGTTAACAATCTACTTCTAATGGTAATAATAACTAAGAATGCCATGCACTGTCCTGAGAGCTTCATACACATTAACTCATGTCGCATAACAATCTTGTAAATTCAGAACTATTATTATTCTCATTTCAGAGATGAAAACCTGGGGAAAGAAAAGGTTAAACAACTTGTCCCCAAGACACACAGCTAAAGAGTGGTGCAGGTGTAACTCAAAGCATGGCAGCTGGACTCTTGCCGTGTATGCTCCCCTTCCTCATTCCAAAACATAATCATCCATAAATGATAGTAGATGATATATGATTCCAATGGTTGTTGATTAAAAATGTGGATGGGAACAAACAATATTCACATAAGTTAAATGTCTTAAAAGTTTTTTCTCAAAGACTGAAGGTTATGAAGGAAAGCTAAAGACAAGAAAGGAACATTGTAATTATGTTTTAATTTTCCTTTTCAGGTATTCATGCAAAGACAACAGAAAAACATTAACATTATATTTTATTTTCCTTTCTTTTTCCATCAAACTATACAGTATATAGTTCAGGATGGAAGAAATGAATGTGGTAATTAAAAACAGTTTAGAAATAGTCTAAGAAGGAATGAAGATTTTTTTTTTACTTTTACAGCCAATTGATAAAGAAAAAAAGGTCTTTTTGACAATAAGTAACAGAACATCTGAATATCCACATGGAAATGTGAGTGAAGATGAACCCCTAACTCACGTCATTTACAAAATGAAACTCAAAATAAATACTAGACCTAAACTATAAAACCCTTAGAAAAAACCACCGTAATAACATTACGTGACCCTAAATTATGCAATGGTTCCTTAGATAGAAGACTAAAGCATAAAAGAAAAGTGACAAAAGAAAAAAAGATCAGCTGGATGTCATCAAAATTAAAGCCTTAGGGCTGGGGATCTAGCTCAGCGGTTCAGTGGCCTGCCTTGCAAGCACAAGGACCGGAGTTCAATCCTGGTACAAAAAAAAAAAAAAAAAATTAAAGCCTTTAGTGACTCAAAACACACCATCAAGAAAATAAAGACACACCACAGAGTTACACAAAATATGTGCAAATCTTATACCTGAAACAGGACTTGTATAAAGAATTTATAAAGAAGGTCTACAGCTCTACAAGATAAAACAATTTAAAAAATAAGCAAACAATTTGAATAGGCATTTCTCCAGAGATAACATACAAATGGTTAATGAGCTTTGATACCACTAGTCACTAAAGTGACGAAAATCAAAACTTCTATGAAATACCACTTCAGAGCTTTAGAAAAGACAGACAATAATGTATGAGTGATAATGGGCAGAATTTAGAATGCTCATACATAGCTAGTGGGAATATAAAATATGCAACCACTTTGCAAAAATTAAATAGAGTTATCATGCTTTGGTAACTGCGCTGATAAGTACATCCCAACAGAATGAAAAATTTATGACTATGAAGAAACTTCTAAACAAATTTTTATAGCAATCAAAAAAGCAAAAACAATACCAAAGTACAGAAACTGATAAATGAATAAATAAAAATGTCGTGGAATACTAGTAGAGTCATAAAAGAAATGGAGCAGTGACACAACATGGATGACTTTCTTTTCAGAACATTATATTAGGTGAAAGAAGTCATGCACAACAGGTTATATAAATAGATAAGTACATTTGTTTGAAATATCCAGAATAGAAAAATTGTTTAGAGACAGAAAGTATGTTAGAGGTTTCCAGGCATAGGGGAAGGAAGAAATAGGGAAGTGATAAATATGCAACTCTATAAATATTTGGTGAAATCACAGATTTTACAGGGAGAAACAAAACAGTAGGCAAAGTATTCTAACCATTTTCATCGTATTGGTTGTCCAAATGCACTGGCCCAGGAACTGGCATTTAGCAGATGAAAACATTCTAAGAAGACATTAATTGTAAATATGCTAATTAAACTTAATTTAATAAGGGATTGTTGGCCCAGGGATTTAGCTCCTGGCACCAAAAAAAAAAAGGAATAATTTTACTCACAGAATTTGTTCCAAGAACTTGAAGTTTTGGTTCCCCTGATTCCAGCAGCTTGGCCACCATATGAAGAAAGCTCTCTACAAATGGCTTGATACTTTGAGAATGACAGGCCATAAGAAGTTGGTCCAGTGCCTCCATAGCAATCAGAACATACCTAAGTGTAAGGGGAAAGCAGCACCAAAAATATTTGGCATTCTCTTAATGCTCTGATGTGCTATTCATTGGAATAATTAAAATAAGTTTATTTAAATGCACAGAACATAGAAAAGCAAATTTAGTAGCTTCTTAGTGAAATTTTAATTCACACATAACACTAATGATCTTAGTAATTTATAAAATAATACACATATTAAAGTATACAAAAGCTATTGCATTTTTCCTTTGTAAAATAACTACTTCACAATTTCTTTTTCATTATCTTTGTATAGTTTTTATTTGTAAACATGGACATCTCTCAGACTTTTAAACATATGTATTTGTAAATGGCCCATCATAATTATTAAAGCAATTTGACTAAATCTCCAACATGATCTACTTTCTATATATAAGTTGGTAAAACAGTTACCAGCAACAACAAAAGTTTCATGAATTTTACTTTACAATTTGATGATTTTAAATATTGTATGTACTAAAAACTAAAATTCACAGTCTCAGATAACTTCCACTGAACTAGAAAACTACTTCTACCATTACCCACATAAAGGGTCTGCATGGTAACAATGTGGAGGCACAGAAAGCTAATGTATCACTTGGAGAATGAATACTCTCAGAAACTAGGATTGTAAAATGACAACGCAGAAAAGTTACCCAGAATGCAAAGTTATTACTTCTGAAGCACAAAGAATGGGGTAAAATGGGGGGCTTCTATTTATAGGCAACAGTATAGATTGTACAGTGTCTTATCAGAATGCTTACATCTTCTTGATCTTTATGTCTAATGTTGTTTTATTTTTTTTAACTCCTCTGAGAAAAAACTAAACCTGTGTGAAAAACCAGTTGTTTACCAGGATTTGTTTTCAATTCAGAGATTTATTTTTAAATTACAGAATCACATTTATAGACTAAAGAAAGCTGATTTTATGTCCTATTAGAGTAATTCCAAAAATTAATAGATGCTGAAGCTAATACTTAACTTTGTTAAATAATATGAGAATATTCACAAAATCTGCCCACAAGGAAACATAAGTTGTAGCATCTATACTGATGTTACACATTTCTTTTTATGACATTATATTGTTCTATCCTCTACATTTTTGTCTGACTATAGGATGATTTAGGAAGAGTTTTCCTAATACACTAGATTAGCAGCAATTAGTTTCCTTACCCAGAACGATGTCTGACAACATCCCTGCTCAGTCTTTCTGCCAAATAAGAACCTATTCGGTCCAACTTCTCTGGAGCAGATACTGCATAAAATGTCAATTTTTCCATATCAGCTTTAACAAGGCCATCCTAAAAACAATGACAAGGTACATTAGGTTATCTACATTATTTTAAGTGATGCCCAATTTAAATTTCCCCCTTTCAGCCTGGAGCTGAATCTAAATCTTTGTTAAAATTTTCTGAATATAATCTCATATTATTATTCACCATTATGGAAAAACAGGCCTTTCAAAAAGTTAAAGAAATCCTCCATTTAGGAAAAGCATTTAAATGTTCCTTTATAAACAATGAAACCACACTCTAACACTTTCCTTTATAAAGAAATACCTCAACTGCAGAATGCTGGAATGGAATGGATTTTATTGAAAAGAGTTCACACAGAATTTCCTTCCACTTAAAATTTTTAATAATTAAGCCTATATTCTTCTACAAAAATAAGTAAACATATTACTTTTTTAATGATTCAGAGCTTGCTGATACTGTTATAGTTTTGCTATTATTAATGAATAAGAAAGCATTCAGAATCGTATACTCCTAAATTTAAACAACGTATTTTTAAAAAGAAGAGAAAAAATAACAGATCCTTGATACAGGATTAGAAAACTGTGGTCTCTGTCTTCTAATGGTGACATGCTACAAGTAAGAAACTGATAGGCACTAGAGAAGCAATAGTCAGAAAAGCCTGGCAAGCATAAAGTCCTCAGGGAAGGGAGGGGAGAAGAGGGGAAGGAAAGAGAAAAGAAAAGGAAAAAGTAAAAGAAAAGAGGAAAGGAAAGTAGGAAGAGAAGAGAGAATAGGAAAAGGAACTATATTGACGGATTAGGTCCTTGAGAAGTTTAATGAGATAGGCACTATCTCCTATTTCTTTTACACAGGGAAAAACTTGCCTGAGATCACATGGCTAGAAATTAAAAGAAATCACTTATTATTTTCCCCCTCACTAGAAAAATATTTGAAAGCAAGAGCTATGACATGTATGCTTCTGTATCCAAGGGCCTACTGCTAATCCATCTTCGATACATTATATTTTTGTATGTGTTTGTTTTAATAAATTTAATAATAAATACAGCAACAGAATAATGATTACTGTATGGATGCGAATCTTTTTTAAAATTAATCTGTTTTACATATTTCTATTTAAATAAATGTTATCCGAATGCCTGGTAAAATATCCTTCCTACAACAATTCTGTAATTTAGGTGCTATCACCAAGTGTTTGAAGCTCTCTGTGTCCACAAGTTGAAGTAGATGGGGTAGATGTCCTCCTGTCATTCATATCCCTTCATCCTCTGCCTTTACCTTACCTTCAGTAACTATATGTCCTAGACATCCCAGGAGAATGGTGATTGAATATTCATTCTATTACCTGATACACCTGAAATTTCAAATTAGAAAGTATGGTCAACAGTATCACTGCCCCATGACACTACCCTTAGGCTACAGGAATCTGGGTGAAGACCAATTTGCTTGTTATTTCATATGTTACCTCTTGCTTTCCCATGCCTTTTCCTTCTTCTCGCTTACAATGAAAAGACTAATATTCTCTGTTTGCAGGGAGTGTACATTCTCCAAGGCTCAGCAAATCTAATTTCCTCTAAGAATTCTTGACAGAGATTGAGAATTCTTGACAGAGATTGCCAATCTGCAGGGATACCTCCTTCCTTTAGAGGCAAAAAATTTTATCACCTGATTACTTAGCATTTTACTTACTGGATTATGCATTATGGTTTAATACTTAGTATGCCTCTGCTCTGTCAGTCAATGTATGAAAAGCTCCTAAAAGCTCCTAAAAGGAATTTTAATATGCTACAAATAATCTAGGATCTGACAGCTAATAGCTTTTAGAACTAACTTCCTCTGTACAGCTGAGTGTTTAAACAGATTCGATTAAAAGTGAGGTAGATCAGACTGGGGGTACTGCTCAGCAATACAGCACTTGCCTAGCATATGGGCTTGATTCCTAGCACAGAGAGGGAGAGGAGAGAAACATTATTGTTAACATAACTAGTTGATTACTGGAAATCAAACTCACAGATAGCATGTTGTGTTCATATCCAGTAATGAGACGCTAATGGAGTTTGGAAAGACTAAAGCAATAGCAAACAAAATCACTCACACCCAGTTGCCTTGATACTAGTCATCCTCTCAAAAGTATTTCAATTTTTTACAAAAAACCTAAACAGTATTTAATAAATAGAAAATGAACTGGAACAGTCTCCCTTCACCTTTCAATTCTCTAATAATTGTGTGGCCAATTCTTAAATATTCTTTGGGTCACAGCTTAGATCTCATTTTCTTCAGGTCTTTATTCTCCTGAATCCAAATTAGATATCACTGCTGTCTATTCCAGGTGCATTTTGGACTTCATTTGTCTAATCAATATTTTTTCACAAAATAGTTTAACTGCCAATTTTCTTATTTAGGAGCTCCGTGAGAGCAGAAACCCATGTCTGTGATCACAGTTACATCTTGAGCACATAGTGCATGTGGCACTGGTTCACAAATTTTTGATGAGTGTGTGTTATTTAAATTAAGCACTATTAGACTGCAAATGAACATCATGCATCTATCATCCGATGACATAATGTATGCCTAATCTACAAAAAGGATCTGAAAACTAGACAAGTAGGCACGGTCACTTAAAAGTTAAAAAAGAAGTATAAAACAATTGTGTATATGACGTATGTTATGAGACACGGGGATAAAAGTAGAGAAATGAAACTGGGGAAACCTTAGGAAAGTCAGCAGGGGGGCAGAATGGGTCAGCAAAGAGGAGAATCAGTAGATGTAGATCAAATTACTTTTGGATCCTCAGGGAATATGTTGTCCACCAGGCGTTTGTAGCGAGGACGCAAAGCAGAACAGCAGCAACATACTCCTGTTTAGGAAAAAAAAAATCAAAAGGTATAAAAATTCATACTGTAAACTGACCCATAGATTCAAGTTTCCAAATATTATAGGGCTGTTAACAAAATAAAGTTCAAACGATCAGAAATTTAACAAGTGATTAAGAAATGAGGAATTTTATTTCTTCTTCTCTTCTCAGACATACTCATTCAACAAAAATCTGAATCAAGATGCTAAGAAATTGCATTAAATCCCCACTTTTTGTTTCACTAATTGAGTTTTAAAGAGTAAATCTTTGCCGCAGAGGGTGATCAGTAGATCAATAATAAAGGTCTGTGTGGTGGCTCACACCAAGTCTTTCCTAGAGAGCAGACAAATGGTCCATACCCCTCAGCTCCTTTCTGAGTCACCCTCTCCTCACACACTACCACTTGTGTGTCCTGATCTACTTTACTCCAGCTATAATGGTCTCCTTGCTCATCCCAGAAGGTTAGGTTACCAACCTTATTTGGGTGCTTCTTCTCACTGTTTGCTCTGTCTACAACACGCCCAAATACCTATTAGGCTAAGCCTGTCACCTCCCTCAACTCTTCATTTAGATTTCCGACTATCCTGCTTTTTCCCATATGATTTTCATATTGCTTTCACTGGTTGTCTTCTGTCTCTCCTGCATGGGAAGTGAGCTCAGGGAAAGCAGTGATCTCTGTTTTGCTCCTTGGGGAGTCCCAAGCACCTGGAATAATATCGGGCACAGAACAGGCATCCAAATATTTGTTGAATGAGTGTATGCTCACATGTAAGACTGAATGAACTGCATTGTGCCTACTTCAACAATTCCTTCTTTGACTTCATATCTTACCTACACAATAAGTTACTCTAGCTTGCTAATTGGTTTCCAAGGGGGTGGTACAGCCTGTCTCTACCAATAGTACTATGTGATACTTCCAAAAGCTCACTGATACTTGAGTAAATATGTACAATGCTGTAGCATCTACTAACACCCTTTGAAACTTATAACCTTTCCATGTTACCAACCACACTTTATCCTTCAAAACTTTAATAAATTCCAAAATAGCTTAATTTTTAAATGAACACATTCTAGTCCCTGAAAACATGTCAGGAAGAAAATTAAACAGGTAATTTTAAAACTAAAATGAAAATGAAAGATTGAAGGATCTGCAATAAATATGATAAAGAACCTGTATGCAATTTATAAACTTTGTATAGGAATAAGACCAAAAAAAATAAATAAAAAAAGACATGATTAAAAAAAACTGGAGTTCGTTCATTTCAATTCTTTCCCTTCAATGGTTAACTGGAAAATCAGCTCTCTAGAAACAGTTACATGAGCAGGAAGGATCCACTTTCTTGTCCTGCAAACCAGTAACTTAAAAGAAATGTTGATCCTGAGGTGTTATTAAATTATTCCTATGATTTATGAAACTGAGGTACATGGGTAAGTGTGCATTTGTATGTATTTAGACAGCACGGCATAAGAGAACACTTGTACTAGAAGAGAATTCAGTTCCAAGTAGCCTTTGCTACTATCTTATCAAGTAATGTTATATAACAGACAACTTTCTCTAGATCTTATACTCTTTATAAAATATGCATCATTCGCCATGCATTCATTTACCAAGTATCAAGTGAGTATGCAGCACAGGCTAAACAAAACTGGGTCCAGATTTGCAGTAGAGTGGAGCTACAGAAGTAGTAATAAAAACAAATTAGGGTTAAAATTTATACAGCTCTTTTGGAGTACCATAAAATACTGTTTATATTATTTAACATTTTTAGTGGCCTAGTAAGAGTTTCTTCTTAGTATTTTATAGAAACAAGAATTACAACAAAACGAATCAGGTAAATTACTCATTAATAAGCAGATGAGAATCCAGTATCTAAAACTAAAACCCTAAATCTTTCTCTATCATAGTTATACAAAAAAGTATAAAAGGGACACAGTTTGCACTCAAGAGTTTATAAATGGATATAAGAAATAGTGAATCATTCAATAATATATGCTTAGGCACTGTATATTGATAAAATGCTATCCATTGTTCAGAATATTTTCTAATAGAAGAAAAAACTGCAAAGAATCCAAGCATTTTAAAGAATTACTTTTTCAAATTAACAGCAAGAGGGCTGGGTGTGGTGACACATGCCTGTAGGCTAAGGCAGGAGGATTGCTGTGAGTTTGAGACCAGCCTAGGCTACAAAGTGAGTTCCAGGGCAATCTGAACTACATAGTGAGATCCCATCTGAAAAAACCAAAACAAACAAACAAAACAAATCAAATTAACAGCAAAATACTTGAATTTTGTTTAGACTCAGAAGCAAAAATAAAGGTTTGATTAGTTGGGAAAGCCATACAAATCAGCTAAAATCATATTTCTGGGCCCAGGGACTTGGCTTAGTGGTGCCATCACCTGCCTCTCAAGCACAAGGACCTGAGTTCAATCCCTGGCACCAAAATAATAAATAAATAAATAGTATTTCTGTATCTACTACACCTAGTACAAAAATACATCAGATAAGTATTATGTCTCACAACTTAACATTGATACTAAAATAAATTAAAATCAAATACGTGCCAAGCAACCCTCAGGCAGGTACTATGATGATGAAATAGGGTTATAATCTGATAAGATTAAGGAGAATACTTTGCTAACATTAATACAAGGCCAGAGTAAATTAGAGCTATGTTGTAAGACCTAAAGTCTCACTTCCACTCCACGGAGCGTGAACAGCCGAAAGGCCTCCACGATGCTGGGCCCTAACACCCAGCGAGGCTCCGGGAACACGAAAGAGAACCGAGAAACCCAGGAAGGAACACACCAGCCTAGATGGTAAATAGACCTTTATTAGTCTGGCCAGGCGGCACTCCCGGAGCCAGGTAGCTCAGAGAGCCAACTGCTCAGGGGCTGAGGTACTTTTTATAAGGTTTTTCTAAACAAAGAGTCAGGGAATTCACAGAACAAGACTGCAAACACATTGCTTATCTTATGCAGGAAATGTTCTAGGGTCACTTTTTGTCAAACCATTTACCCCTGGGCGGGCTGTTAACCAAGGTAGCAATTAGCATATGAAGAAGCACAGTCTGGCCTATTAGCATGGAGTCACTTTAGCCTATTCAAGTCTTACAATGTCATGCCATGGCAAAAGTGATATGAGACTAAAAAACAGAGAATAACATTTCAAGTTTCCTATCAGAATGGTAAATTTTGTTATTCACAATTAAAATATCTTAATAAGTGGCTTAAGTTTCACTTACTTTGATACTTTCTGGTATAATTATACATTTCTGTTAGTTTAAAGGAGCTTAAAATATAAATGTGAACTTAAATGCCAACAATATGCCCAGTTCCCACTTCCTGGAAGCTCTGGTGTCCCTCAGGAAAAAGATGAACTTCTGGGAAAGTATCCACCAGGCTAAAGAGAGTGGGCTTAGGAGTTAAGACAGATCACAGACCTGGGGTGACTAAAGGGCCTCTCACTGTCCAACTATATGTGCAGGTGATTTTGTTCTATTGCACCTCACTTCCTTATCAGAATAATAATGCCTTCTCCATAATCACTGCAAAAAATAAAATCATATATAAGTTCCCATTAAATAAACATCAAAAAAAAATCCAGCAAAATGATAGCATTATTCACAATGAAGTAACAATACTATGACAATCAAGGTAAGTAGCAAGAAACGGAAGATCCTTCAGATAGTATTCCCAACATTATGAAAACCATTGCTGGAAATTAATTATTTAAAGTCTATAATAAGTTTCATATATGATTCACAACAGCTTTCAATAGCAGTACCAGCAGTAGTAACTGTCATGTTCTGATATGTGTACAGTCCTATCCTAAGGACCTTATATCGTTATTCTTTTATTCCTATAGAACTCTCTGTTCTATAGGTAGGTTATCATCATCTTTATTTGATTAAACAGGAAACAGAGGCAATGCGAGGTTGATCTGCCCAGTACCACACAGCTGGTAATGATCAGAGGCTCTGGAATCCCAACCAGATCTCATGAATTCAAAGGGTGACTGCCACTGAAGATTCAAGCACAGGACAATTTTCCACTACCCATTACCACTGAATTAATGAATGTGAATCCCTAGCAGATGAGAAATGCACTACCACCACTCAGGGAAAGGAGTGATCACAGAACGTTTTTCAGGAAGGCCCAAAACGAAACAAAAACACTTCCTGATCAGTTACTACAAATGAAAAGCTACCCATTATAAAGATGCATAAAATTAAGCTAAAACTTTCTATTTATTCTAATTTTTATAAAATGAAAGACAACACAAAGTTAAAATGACTGGCAGTACTAATCACAAAAGAAATTATAACAGAATGCTTATAAACATCACAAGAACATGTAAAATAAAATCATCGAACCTACTTAGATATAGAAATGTTGTCGACTCCCCCGGTGAAGTAAATTCATAAGGCTTTTCAAGTTCAGCAGCAGGTACCTTAACATAGTCCTTCATGGTATATGAGACTATTTTCTAGCCGATCTTCCTGCTTCTGGATCCTTTTACCTGCTGTTCAGGAAGTGCCGAGTTCACTTTACTTCTAATTAACAGACAGAACTGAAGTACTGCAGCTTATCTAATTTGTTGACATCAAATATAAGCTATCAAGAACTTAACAATATCCATATCAAATTCTGCAAGCAGGTCCAAACAGCTTAAATAAGATACTAAAGTACTCATTGCGAGTTTAATAAAAGTAGATTTTTCATAGAGCTTAAATAAGAAAGTTTACTTTTTTCCCTTTAAAACAGTCCCAATCTCTCCTCATCCTAGCTTCTTGTCCCAACAAACTCACTTCAGCCTTTGCACTATCCTATTTTCAACCTCTTCCCAACTTTCTATTTATCAGAAGAAAAAAGGGTTAAGTGTATCACAGAGTCCCAACAAACTGGCAAGTCTAAACAATATAGTCTTTTAAACTTAACTTTAGCACATAAAGGAAAGCACATCATTACCCCATAATGCTCCCATAACATGTGGACTTCAG